ACGAAAGACCGCGAAGACTAGACGCTAGGCGGTGCAATCTGCTCCTCCCTCTTTTTAAACGAGCCAATAGGAGCTGCTCACATTAAAAACAACTTTATTTAAAAAGTCGTTTTACACCTGATACAAAAATTTTAAAAGTCAAACAATGCACAAGTTTAAAAGAACAATTTTATTTTTAAAAGTTTTTTAAGCATAGGGATGGTTAATATGTTTAAAAAAGTAATATATAATATTTATCAAAAATTGTCACCCAAATCAACATCATAATAAAAATATAATTAATAAAAATATAATAATGATAAGAAGAAGAATAACAGTTTACCTAAAAGCTCTTCTAACATTAGACTGCTTTTGAAAAGTTTCAATAGTGTCAATACACCATAAGGACAAGGGAGTTTCACAGTTGAAGTGTGACTGCTTGAAAGACCCCATTCCCTCTCCTTTCCACTAGTTCATCCATCCATTCGCTTCCGCTTCTCCTTTTCAGGGTCGCAGGGGACGCTGGAGCCTATCCCAGCTGTCATAGGGCGAAAGGCGGGGTTCACCCTGGACAGGTCGCCAGTCTGTCGCAGGGCCAACACACAGGGACAGACAACCATTCACACTCACATTCACTCGCACATTCACACCTAGTGGCAATTTGGATTATCCAATTAACCTATCCCCACAAGCTGCATGTCTTTGGACGGTGGGAGGAAGCCGGAGTACCCGGAGAGAACCCACGCAAACACGGGGAGAACATGCAAACTCCACACAGAAAGACCCCGGCCTGATGGTGGAATTGAACTCAGGACCTTCTTGCTGTGAGGCAACAGTGCTAACCACCGTGCCACCGTGCTGCCCGGTTCCACTAGTTCAAAGAAAATATAAATTATTTCTGGTTATATAATTTGAGGGCACAAGTTTGAAGAGTAACATTTTAACAGATCGGTAATATACTTCAGGAGCTTTACTGGATCTGATTAACCAAAACTTCCATCTTCCATGTAGCTAACTGTCTTTTCTCTAATACAGTAGAGTGTGTCTGATCTACTAAAAATCCTCAACTGCATGTTTGCTCAAGTAAATAGTCTTAATTGTTTGAACAACCAGTAATCCTTAATTTGCAAATGCCAAATCTGGATTTTGTCTGTGTAATTCACTTTTATCTTAGGTTTTTTATTCGTATTTTTTGCTTTTCTTTTTTTCTACTCTTGTGTCCGTTTTAATCACTTATTATTGCTGCTGTGACAAGTGAATTTACCTAAGAAGAATCATGAAGTCCTTATTTTATCTTATCTGAGCCTCACCATGCAGCCTACCATGCAGAGTTCACATTAAGTACATAAAATGAAATCTAAAATTAAAAAGTAACCAGTTTCAAACCAGTTATTTGGAATAGTGTGCAGAGTGTTTTGAGTAACATTGAATGTTCAAAAACACCAAAGTTCCTATAGTCTCACTTGACAGCTGGGTTGTAGTGTCTGATAACACATAACATCTTGAGGTCTCAATGTGGACTTTGAGTACATTTGCTAGCCAAGGCTAAATACTGAGAGGGTCAAAAATGAAGGGTAAAGAACATCTGACTGTACGTAAGGGTAGCAAAAGTGATAGACTGAGGTTGTGCCAAATATGTTAAAGTTAGGGTGATTTCTTAGAGAATGGTACCACATGGGTGCCGTCTGCAGGTTATAAAAGAGAGTTATGTTCATACTTTCTTTTGAGATTCTTTTTACAATTTGACTTTCAGAACTCCCTGGGTTGTGCGCAATCTGTGATGGGCTTGTTTGGAATAAATCCTCCTTTATTCAAATAACACTTTCTCAGGCTCTTCACAGAAGAAGAATCCTCACATAAGCATGTGCTACCATTTTGAACCAATGTACACATTTACCATCACTAACCCAACTAGGACCTACATTGGATGCCCACCCATATGGATTTGATGTTAGAAACCCAAGTGGGTCCCATATATACTAAACAATCTTGAGCCCATGTAAAATATATGCCCATATTAATTTAACATAACCCATTTGGGGCCCACATAGACATGTTTTCAGGGTCTGACTTGCATTTGCCCATGTGTGACACATATAGTTTGACCAGGTGGGCCCCACCTATGTCATCAGTACCAAAAAATATATACCGATTACCTCACTTTGCCCCACCTGGGGCACACAACAACACCTTTTCTTTAAATGACCATGTTAGCACATATCTAACCCATGTGAAAAACCCAAGTGGGTCCTACATGTGTTTCCCATTTTGGACCAATTGAAGTGTTTCCCATGTTTGACCCAGCCAGGACCTACTATATGTTTCCACTTGGTTTTGCCAATATGGCTTTAATGTGAGAAACCTAAGTGGGTCCCATATATACTAAACAATCTTGAGCCCACATAAAATATATGCCCATATTAACTTAACATAACCCATATGGGGCCCACATAGACATGTTTTCAGGGTCTGACTTGCATTTGCCCATGTGCGACCCATATAGTTTGACCAGGTGGGCCCCACCTATGTCATCAGTGCTAAAAAAATATATTGATTACCTCACTTTGCCCCACCTGGGGCCCACATAGACATGTTTTCAGGGTCTGACTTGCATTTGCCCATGTGTGACACATATAGTTTGACCAGGTGGGCCCCACCTATGTCATCAGTACCAAAAAATATATACCGATTACCTCACTTTGCCCCACCTGGGGCACACAACAACACCTTTTCTTTAAATGACCATGTTAGCACATATCTAACCCATGTGAAAAACCCAAGTGGGTCCTACATGTGTTTCCCATTTTGGACCAATTGAAGTGTTTCCCATGTTTGACCCAGCCAGGACCTACTATATGTTTCCACTTGGTTTTGCCAATATGGCTTTAATGTGAGAAACCTAAGTGGGTCCCATATATACTAAACAATCTTGAGCCCACATAAAATATATGCCCATATTAACTTAACATAACCCATATGGGGCCCACATAGACATGTTTTCAGGGTCTGACTTGCATTTGCCCATGTGCGACCCATATAGTTTGACCAGGTGGGCCCCACCTATGTCATCAGTGCTAAAAAAATATATTGATTACCTCACTTTGCCCCACCTGGGGCCCACATAGACATGTTTTCAGGGTCTGACTTGCATTTGCCCATGTGTGACACATATAGTTTGACCAGGTGGGCCCCACCTATGTCATCAGTACTAAAAAATATATTGATTACCTAACTTTGCCCCACCTGGGGCACACAACAACACCTTTTCTTTAAATGACCATGTTAGCACATATCTAACCCATGTGAAAAACCCAAGTGGGTCCTACATGTGTTTCCCATTTTGGACCAATTGAAGTGTTTCCCATGTTTGACCCAGCCAGGACCTACTATATGTTTCCACTTGGTTTTGCCAATATGGCTTTAATGTGAGAAACCTAAGTGGGTCCCATATATACTAAACAATCTTGAGCCCACATAAAATATATGCCCATATTAACTTAACATAACCCATATGGGGCCCACATAGACATGTTTTCAGGGTCTGACTTGCATTTGCCCATGTGCGACCCATATAGTTTGACCAGGTGGGCCCCACCTATGTCATCAGTGCTAAAAAATATATTGATTACCTCACTTTGCCCCACCTGGGGCCCACATAGACATGTTTTCAGGGTCTGACTTGCATTTGCCCATGTGCGACCCATATAGTTTGACCAGGTGGGCCCCACCTATGTCATCAGTGCTAAAAAAATATATTGATTACCTCACTTTGCCCCACCTGGGGCCCACATAGACATGTTTTCAGGGTCTGACTTGCATTTGCCCATGTGCGACCCATTTAGTTTGACCAGGTGGGCCCCACCTGTGTCATCGATACTAAAACATATATTGATTACCTAACTTTGCCCCACCTGGGGCACACAACAACAGCCTATCCTTAAATGACTGTGTTTGCCCATGTCTATCCCAGGTGGAAAACCCAAGTGGGTCCTACGTGTGTTTCCCATTTTGGACCAAGTTAAGTGTTTCCCATGTTTGACCCAGCTAGGACCTACTAAAAGTGCTCACTTGGGATGGCCCATATGGGTTTAATGTGAAGAACCCAAGTAGGCCCCATACAAAAAGCCCAGTTTTAGCCCATGCCCACATGGTACCCATCCAGCCCGAGCAAAAACCAGGTGGGGCCCATATATACATGTTGGCTGGGGGAGGAGGTGTAGGTACCCATGGTGACAGAAAAGGACCTTTCTGAGAGATAGGATTTAAACCAGCTAAGGGCACTGCCCGTGATGCCCACCAGATCCTCAAGCCTCATTAATAAAAGGACATTATGGTCCACCAAATCAAAAGCAGAGGACAAATCAAGAAAAATTAACACCACAGGGCGCCCTGAGTCAGCAATTGGGAGAAGATCATTAAAGACTCTCAGTAATGCAGTTTCCGTGCTATGACGTGGCTTAAACCCTGACTGAAAATTTTCCCCGATATTATTTGCATCCAAATAAGTTTGAAGTTGGGAATGAACAATCTTCTCTAGGATTTTAGCCAGAAACGGGAGTTTGGAAATGGGTCTAAAGTTAGCGAGGTCATCCTGATCAAGGGAGCTCTTTTTAAGTATAGGTTGCTCTACAGCGTGTTTAAAAGCAGCCGGAATACAACCCGATAACAGTGACAGGTTAATTAATGATAAAATACAGGGCCCAATAATGTTAAACCCATCTTTAATAATGCGAGATGGAAGGATGTCATGAGCAGCGTTTGAGTTTTTTAGGTGATCAATTATACCCTTAAGAGTAGGGAGCGAAACTGGATCAAACTGATTGAGGTTAGTAGAGCATCGTAATGCTGGGGCCTGACTCATCACAGGGGGTGTGAGACTCTTAGAGATATCACGTGATGCATACTGCTCCGACGTGCTACGGTTATGAGCCGAGTTATGCCATGTCGCAAGTTTTGTGAGGTGCTTTTTTGATATTTAATGGATCGGATTATATTTTTTATTTCTCTCCGATATCCGATCCACTAATTTAGGTCAGTATCGGACTGATACCGATACGTAATATCGGATCGGTCCATCTCTAGTTATAACAATAGTTTTTACTGGTTATACCAGTAAAAACCACTCTACCAGTAAAAAGTAACATCTGATAAAACAGAAAACAGAGCAAAAGAGCTTTTCTAAAACCTGTGAAAAGGTACTTTGAACTAAGCCCTTTCCAAGTTCTAAGTATTTCCAGCCCCTCCCAAGTATTTTGCATTGACTGAACCTAATCAGAGAAAAATAAGAATAAAATGGACATTAAAATAATCCCAGTAAGACTCAAAAGACTCTCTGTTAACAGTCATGTGTCAGACAAGTCGATAGAAAACGTAACTACCATTATAGTTCTTTTTGTTAGTTTTTGTGGTTTAAGGCAGCACCGTCAGTCAAGCTTTATGTAATAGATTTATTCCAATTTAATTTCTAGTTGGCCAGCCCAGTAAAAAAGCACATAGCAACCTACCTTTCTGTTAATTTAAAAAAGTGCAAGCATATTCTAAAAACATCTAAAAAACGCCAAGTAATTAACAATTCACTTACAAACCAGATGACATGTAGCCTGAAACATTGTAATAAAAACAATTTCAATTAAAAAATATATATTTTTGTGTACACTTCGGTTCAGAGTGAAGCTACAAAAACACAAAACCTTCACATGCAGAGTATTTTAGAACCAAAATGTCCCTTTTTGAACCACAAAAATATCCATTACTCACACCGATTCAAGAAAATTACTGAAATAAAAATGTATTTTCTGTACATTTTCAACCATTTGCAGTAAAGGTTGGCATCACCAGAAACAGAGGAGCTTGCAGCAAAATATTTATAATATTAACAAATCATATTTGAAAAGTTTTCACACTTTCACACAAAACAGCTTCACACTTAGGTGTAGAATTTTCTACACCTTAGAAATATTGATAGCAGAATATGTGCAGAAGTCAGAACTCTGTGTTTTCTTCTTTTGCCTCTGCGATGCCTGACGGATTTCCAGGGCAGCGTAACACATATCTTCATCCTAAGAGGTCACGTTTGTTGTTAGAAGCTCCATTTTGTTCTACTGTAATGCTATTACTGTAGTATAATATAAAGTTAAAACATTCTGTAAATTACCTTTATTCTTGTTAGATGTCTTGTTTTAGGATGTATCTGGTCAACTTCAGGTTCTTCAGCTTTGAAAAATAATTACGTTACAAAATCAAAACAATGGACTGAAATTAGAAATGTTTTGATTCTGAGTTTCTTGATTTAAACGAACGGCATATGAATAGTAATACTTACAGTTAATAAATCTTTTCCTACATAGATGATAAACCAGAAGTGAGGAGAAGAGTGAGGAGATGCCAGCAAAAACGGGACAAAGAGAGAGTAGCAGCATCCAACATAGGTCACAGTTCTGAGGAGGTTGGTGATGTTTGCTGAAACCTGGATCAAACAAAAAGCTCTAATAAGTAGGTTAATTGTATTTTAATCTCATAAAGGAATTTCATGATTTCTTTGACCATGATCATAAAATGAATGCTGTTATCAATCTTCTGTTACAACCCATGCTAAGTTTTATTTGCAGAATGAATAGACATTTTTTGAAAATTGTTACTGCTATACAATTGTGGCTTTTTCCTTTGATTTCTTGACATGGGTTGATTGATTTTGATAACTGCACTGCGCTACTGTTTTTTCAAATTGGAAACTTTTTTTTTCAGAAATGAAGTGGAAAAAGAAAAAACAACCCAGGGGTTTGTGATACTGTGATTATATGAAAAATAAATGTATACCAAATGGTTTGCATGTAAGTAGCAAGGGGTCTCTGATTTTGTAAGAATTCTTTGAAAAATATTAAAAAACAATATTTCATTCTTGAGTGTTCTGGTAAACTATGATGCACAACATCACTCAAATTCCATATCAATTAAGATCACATGAAATATCATACAAAATAAAAACCTGACAAAAACACTCACCTATTATGATTCTTGTTGTGGCATTGCCATATGTGTAAATAAATCTGGGCACGATGAATTCTTTATCCTCCAGCCGTTGTTGTTCTGTTCCACAGTAGTAGAGGCCTTCATCAGAATCAGTGACGTTTAAAATCATAAGGTCATAGGACTCAGAGGAAAAATTCCTCACAAATTGAAAATGCGATAAGGGGTTCAGTAGGTCAAATGTGTTATTTCCCCATGAATTATATTTCAGTTTTAAAACAAGAGATGGCTGGTTCTCATGAGAACAATCCCTGTACCATACTATATATACTCCAGAGGATAATTTGCAGTCACAATAGAGGGTGATATTGTGTCCTGCATGGATTATCACTTCTGATGCAGAAATCCAATTCTGACAGGAGACCACTCCTGGAATACAAACAGATTGGTATAAGAAAATGAAATGTGAAGCAGTTTACTTGAATTCCCATCTGGTAAAAACAAATTCCCTCAACAACAACAATAAGAATGACAATGCAGACACTGATTATTCTTAAAAAACATCAAATTCTTTTATCTTAAGAATTACCCAAGAGAACAACCACAAACACATGCAGCCCAGCCATCTGTGATGATAGTTGAGAGCTCAAAGACAGATAGTGTATATATCATGCACATGACGTTTCCATTTAAGGAAGTCAAAGCGGTGATTGGCTTGTCATGCAGAAATTTCTCATCTGTGATACTCGTCTTGATATCTCTTTGAACTCTGGTGCATATTACAAGTTTATTAGTGTTCTTTAATATCTTTAGATTGCTATTGAATTAAATCAGACGTCTGATTCAATTCAATCTTTTAAATCTCCACTAAAAACGTATTTATTTAGCCTTTTATGTGTACTGTAACTTGTGTTTTTTGCTTTGATTAATGTTTATAATGATTTAACCTTCAGCCTTTCGGCTTGTGCCTACTACTATGCCTGGTTTACTATTGATTAGTTATCTCTCCCACCTGTCAGTATATTATTTTATTTTTATTATTTTATTTATTTCTATTTATTATTGCTCTTAATTGGTTCTGTGAATCACTTTGCCATAGCTCTGGTTTTTAAATGTGCTATATAAATAAAATTGTATTGTATTGTATTGTATTAGATTGGGTGAAACACAAAAAAACAAGCCTTAAAAAATGTGCTAAATACTGTAAAAGGGTCTGTTTTGAGCCAAACCATGATCTTTTCCTAGCCTTATCAAGTTATTTTATTGCCTAAGTCTAACAAAACTGGAGAAAACGAAAAAGAAACCAAAAACTAATGCTATTAAGAATCAAAAATGTTTTTTTTATTTCACTTCTGACCTCTCAAATTCAAATTCTAATTTTATTTGTCACATACACAGTCATACACAGTACGATATGCAGTGACGATATGCTTAGACAACTGCTCGTGACCTATGAATAGGATAGGAAATAAATATGAAAATTAAAATAAAGGGATATTTTGTGGTCCTTAAACCACAATGGTAATATAACAGAAGAACAAATGACTTGTATGACTGCCTAGTTGAGATAAACTGATAAATAAATCTAATAAATAATAGAAACCTCAAGAACTCAGTTTGATTTGTATTAATAAATTTAATCACATTGATTACTCATAAGTTCCAGTCACTTAAGTGACCAACTTAAGTTTCTCCTATTTTAGATTGAATGCACTGAGTAAACAGTTTTGTTTAAATGTATGTGTGTGTGTTTCTAGGGTTGGAGTTTTGGTAAAAGTCATAATAAACACGTCATTTTCAAAACTTTAGAATTTTCTGGCAATTATTTAAAGGTTCAGGCTTTGAAAGGTTGAGAGAAAGGAATTGCCAGCAAACCTAAGTAGGTAAGAACAGTAGCACTTGTTCCTGTTTTACACATAGCATTTATCCAGAGAGGAAACGTTTACCTGAACTATACTGAGTATGCAGGGAAGCATATCACATTAATAAAGACCAGAATCCAACAATATCACTGATATTTTAATAGGTTGTTCATCCTCTGGTTTGTTTGTTAAAGGCAAATTCCTCAAGTCTTCATGCTGACTATTTAGTGGGCTAAATGGTTTCTATTAACCCCACCCATGTTGTCTGCTTGCTGTCATTTGATGTGCTTGTGCTTTAAGGCTAAACACTCAGAAAAAGCATGATCCTTTTTATGAACATTGCATTCCCATTCAACCTTTGGAACAGAGGAGTTATCACAAACCCACTCTTATGGGTAAAAGCTAATTAATCTGCTGCTGCTGTAGGAGCTTTCAAAGTTGTTGAAGAGTCAAATCAGCAAAAAGAAAAAAAAACCCAAACCAAAAGCCTTTAGTTAAAACGCACGCAAAACACACACACAAAAAAACGTTTTAAACTTACAAATGAGCTCCTAGCAACTCAAGGAAAAACATGACAAAGGGGTGGTGATTAAACAAAAATGGGTTGTCTCCTCTACAGGCTTTTTTTCACAAACTTAGCACAAAACAATGAAACTGATCATTTACTGAGAAACAAGCAAAACAACACGCTAACATAAACTTAATATAAACAATAGCATAGCATAGACAAGCTCTCAAAAACTTGTGGTGCTTTGATTGGAAACCAAAATGGCCACAGACTCTGAAGTGCAGCTTCAAACCCTGTATATAGCCCCCTGTGACTCAGCCTACAGCCAGTGAGTTTAAAAAGTAGCCAAAAAGAGGAAAAAGGAGGAAATCCAGAGACTGGGATGCAGAAGCAGCTTAGCATGCACTAACCCTTTAAATTTTACATTCTATATAGACTTTGCTCTCAAGCACTATCAGATTGGACAAGGACTATCTGATCATGTGATCTGCCATCTTTATTTTTATGCTTGCTGTGGTCCTATGGTATTTTTTCTAGGTCAGCCTGTTTGAAAAACTGTGACACTTTCTAGATGTCAGTAATGAGGTCAGTGCCCCCGCACCACAGCCACCACCCCCACTTCCACCCTCTAAAGCAATTCAGTACATGAAGTATTATAACAAGGGAACTGACATTTGCAATTGATATATAATACAGAAAAAATATGTAAATATTTGTTCTAACCAAGTTTCTGTAATTAATTTTAAAGATCTATTAATCCAGAATCAGTTATTTCATTTCAAATTTATAATGACAAACTATCACTAATGCTTTTTACATTCAGTCAGAAGCACTTGTTCTAGTTGTTTCAAAAATATGATGATTGAAGGAATGATCTGTAGGTTTATGACCCTATTACAAAGATAGCTGAAAAGTTTTAGTTTTAATTAAACAATACATCAAACAGTTCAGCTAACTGAGCTGGGTTTTGAAATCCTTCCAATATCAATTTGCTTGGGTTCTACTGGCATTTGGAGTTGATGAACTGACACTGTCCACCAGAGGGTGCTATTTCTTTTGGAACAGATATTTATTGGGACAGCCTTCCACAGATTTAGTATATTGTTAATATAATGTTAAAAACAATGCTTTAGTTAAAAAATATTTTTAACTAAAACAATTATTACTAATAAACAATATTTACCAATGATCAGTAATGTTAAAATGTACAATATGCCTATGCCATAAATTGGTGCACTAAAAATTATTATTCAGTGTCAAAGCTGCGGGTGTCTCAGAGACTGGTGTATTTCTTGATGCATGTGATGCAACAATAGTGAGAAGGCTCTGGGTCATGAGCTGACTTGTTTCAATCTAGACCACAATTCTTTCCTAAACCTAAACTTTTCTGAGAATCGCTTGCCAACCAACCAGCTTGTGCAAATGAAAGTAAAAAAGTAAAAACAAAACTATTCAGTGTGAGAAACAAGACACAAAGATTCACAGTTGTGTGAATACTCCACCCTTTTTTCCATCTGCCTTCTTATAATGTCTTTTAAACAAGTATAAAAATCACTTACAAACATCTGGATGGTTTTTGTAAAGTTACAGCTTGTTTGCATATATAAATCTGTTTACAATTTACTTCTTAATTTGATCATTTTAGCAGTAATAAGTGTTAAGTAAAGGCTAATTCTCTATCAGTTTGCTAATTATGGCTATGCACAGTATTACCTATAATGAATTATACCAGAAAATCTCGTTCAGTCAGCAAAAGAGGGTTAAGGAAGCTCTTTCCTACCAGTCAAACATGTTATACAATTGAATTTGATATACAATGGACATATGATGAAAGTAGTTGTCATTTGTTGGTAATAATATCTTTTTTGTCATCCACCCTAACCATTACAAATATTTTTACATGTCATTCAAGTACTTAAAACTTTGTGTACAGAATAAAAATGTGATCAAACATAACAAATGTAAATGTTATCTTAATCAGATAAGTGGCAAAATCATTTATAAATGTATTATTAAGGCATTTAGGTTGACAGCCTGTAGTGGGACTTGAGCACAAGCAGTTTTATTTAGGTTTCTGTCTATTTACAAAAACTAATTTTGACAGGTTGAATAATAATTCCAAAAACTCCAACAGTGTCAAATTCAAATTCATTCAACCAGTCTGTTATGACATCCCCTTGGATTAATACATTAATAGGAGATGTATTACTATACTTTTCCTCATCATCCAGATGCAAAAGACTTTAAACCGGCTCACAATAGAGAACCAGAGATATGTACTCACAGCTTAACTTTGTTATGAGTTCTGGTAAAATATTTTTCATGAAAATGGAAACAAGCCAAGGCTATTTCCTGGACATTTTTTATAAAGCTGAAAACTAAAAATGCTTTTGAATATCAAGGTTTTGTTTTAAACTTAAATAATAGTTTGCTTTTATTGGTCTTTGTCCCTGAAAGCGAGGTAGATCCAAATTTTTTATTTAACTCTACGTCAGCCAGCAGAAAAATGTCAATGTGACCACTTTTTTCATGGCATGCTCACAGAAGTGATAACTAATAAAATAATGTCTGAATATTTAAATAGGTTTGTAAATTCTGACTGTTCTTTGACTTATAGAATGATTTTCACATGATAAGATAAAATAATCTTTACTAGTCCCACACGTGGCAAATTTTTTGGTCATGGCAGTAAGTACGAGTTTAAGAGCAGTAAAAGTTAACAAAAACACAATAGGATAGGGTAAGCAATAATACAATAGTAAACTATACAACAGGAATAAAATACTATATACAATAGAATAAAGTACAATATAAATAAGATTAAAAGATACTGTACAAAGAGCTCTGTTGTAGTAGGGAAAAAAATGCATGATGCCATGCTGCATATATTTCAAAAAATTGAAACTTAAATTGCCGCCCATGAGAGTGGTAAACAGAAATGGTGTGGCAGAGCAGTCCCTGAAGAGGTTAAACTAGGTTGAACATTTATCACAACTTAAATGCGGGGCAGGCTGAAATGAAGCTATTTATATTTCACAACCTATTTGCAAATGTTAGTTGTGGTTGTATGTTAGTGCAACTACGAGTTGACTTTCGCAACAGTGTTTGCAGTGCAAGCATTGTCAGCATCGCAGCTTACAGCTACCCCTCTGCAACATCAAGCAAGAAGCATAGACCTGCAGAAACCACAACTGCTCCCACCTCTGTAAATGTCAACAGCATGGTCAATATCTTCAGCCCCCATTTTAGTGTATGCACTCGTACAGGACAGG